AGGTATGGTGGTTTCTTGAATGAACTTCTATTTTGAATTTTAAGCAACTTCCATTTTTATTCAATTTTCTTTTCTATTCAACTTCGTTTTTTAGTTAATTTTCAAATAAATCGTTAAAATAAAGTGGTTTCTTGAATGATCTTCCATTTTTATTTTTATTCAACTTCCATTTTTAATCAAATTCCTTCTCTATTCAACTTCCTTTTTTATTTAATTTCCAAATATATCATTAAGGTATAGTGGTTTCTTGAATGAACTTCCATTTTTAATTTTATGCAACTTCCATTTTTATTCAATATCCTTTTCTATTCAACTTCCTTTTTTATTTAATTTCCAAATAGATCGTTAAGGTATAGTGGTTTCTTGAATGTTCTTCCATTGTTAATTTTATTCAACTTCTATTTTTATTCAATTTCTTTTTTCTATTCAACATCCTTTTTTGTTTAATTTCGAAATAGATCGTTAAGGTATAGTGGTTTCGTCAATGAACTTCCATTGCTAATTTTATGCAACTTCTATTTTTATTTTTATTCCAGTTCCATTGTTATTCAATTTTCTTTTCTATTCAACTTCCTTTATTATTTAATTTCCAAATAGATCAATAAGGTATGGTGGTTTCTTGAATGAACTTCCTTTTTTAATTTTATGCAACTTCCAATTTTATTTTTATTCAACTTCCATTTTTATTCAATTCTTTTTCTATTCAACCTTCATAAAATTAAAAATGGAACTTCAATCAAGATAACACTACACCTTAATGATCTATGTGGAAATTAAATAAAAAAGGAAGTTGAATAGAAAAGGAATTTTAATAAAAATGGAAGTTGAATAAAAATGAAAATGAAAATTCATTCAAGAAACCACTATTCGTTAACGATCTATTTGGAAATTAAATAAAAAAGGAAGTTAAATTGAAAAAAAAAAATTGAATAAAAATAGTAGTTGAACAAAAATAAAAATGTGAGTTGCATAAAATTTAAAATGGAAGTTCATTCAAGAAACCACCAGACCTTAACTATCTATTTGGAAATTAAATAAAAAAAGGAAGTTGAATAGAAAAGGAAATTGAATAAAAATGGAAGTGGAATAAAAATAAAAATGGAAGTTGCAAAAATTTGAAAATGGAAGTTCATTTAAGAAACCACTATACCTGAACGATCTATTTGGAAATTAAATAAAAATGGAAGTTGAATAAAAATAAAAATGGAAGTTGCATAAAGCGCAAAATGGAAGTTCATTTAAGAAACCACTGTGCCCTAACGATCTATTTGGAAATTAAATAAAAAAGGAAGTTGAATTGAAAAGGAAATTGAATGAAATTGGAAGTTGAATAAAAATAAAAATAGAAGTTGCATAAAAATAAAAATGGAAGTTCATTCAAGAAACCACTATACCTTAACGATCTATTTGGAAATTAAATAAAAAATGAAATTGAATAGAAAAAGAAATTTAATAAAAAACGAAGTTGAATAAAAAAGGAAACTGAATAAAGATAGAAAAAGAAGTTGAATAAAAATGGAAGTTGAATAAAAATAGAAATGGAAGTTGCATAAAATTAAAAATGGAAGTTCATTATATAAACCACTATACCTTAACGATCTATTTGGAAATTAAATAAAAAAGGAAGTTGAATAGAAAAGGAAATTGGATAACAATGGAAGTGGAATAAAAATAAAAATAGAAGTTGCATAAAATTAACAAAGGAAGTACATTAAAGAAACCACTATACCTTAACGATCTATTTAGAAATTAAATAAAAAAGGAAGTTGCCCCTTTTTTTTTCCTTTTTTTTTTTCACCCTTCCCGGGACAACCTGTCCGGTTTTTAGCCCATTCAATCGCCTTCGCCTCCTTTTCGACAAATTTCTCCCTTTTAAACCTTTTCCCGATTATCCTATTCCATTCAATTTAATTTATTTTCTTTCCGTCTACTGCTTAAAACAATAAAGTCACGGTTAATCTTCGGGTGCGATCATACCAGCACTAATGTGCCGGATCCCATCAGAACTCCGCAGTTAAGCGTGCTTGGGCGAGAGTAGTACTAGGATAGGTGACCCCTGGGAAGTCCTCGTGTTGCACCCCTTTTCCCCCTTTTTTTCCTTTTTTTTTTTTCACCGTTCCCCGAACAATCTGTCCGATTTTTAGCAGATTCAACCGCCTTCGCCACATTTTCGACAAATTTCTCCCTTTTAAACCATTTCCCGATTATCCTATTCCATTCAATTTCATTTTTTTTTCCGTTTACTACTTAAAACAATAAAGTCGCGGTTAATCTTCGGGTGCGATCATACCAGCACTAATGCACCGGATCCCATCAGAACTCCGCAATTAAGCGTGCTTGGGCAAGAGTAGTACTAGGATGGGTGACCACCTGGGAAGTCCTCGTGTTGCACCCATTTTGCCCTTTTTTTTTCCTTTTTTTTTTCACGTTTTCCCGGACAACTTGTCCGATTTTTAGCCCATTCAATCGCCTTCGCCTCCTTTTCGACAAATTTGTCCCTTTTAAACCATTTCCCGATTATCCTATTCCATTCAATTTCTTTTTTTTTTTGGTCTACTGCTTAAAACAATAAAGTCGCGGTTAATCTTCGGGTGCGATCATGCCAGCACTAATGCACCGGAACCCATCAGAACTCCGCAGTTAAGCGTGTTTGGGCGAGAGTAGTACTAGGATGGGTGATCCCCTGGGAAGTCCTAGTGTTGAACCCCTTTTGCCCCTTTATTTTCCTTTTTTTTTTCACCCTTCCCCGGACAACCTGTCCGGTTTTTAGCCCATTCAATCGCCTTCGCCTACTTTTCGACCAATTTCTCCCTTTTAAACCATTTCCCGATTATCCTATTCCATTCAATTTCATTTTTTTTTTCGGTCTACTGCTTAAAACAATAAAGTCGCGGTTAATCTTCGGGTGCGATCATGCTAGCACTAATGCACCGGAACCCATCAGAACTCCGCAGTTAAGCGTGCTTGGGCGAGAGTAGTACTAGGATGGGTGATCCCCTGGGAAGTCCTAGTGTTGAACCCCTTTTGCCCCTTTATTTTCCTTTTTTTTTTCACCCTTCCCCGGACAACCTGTCCGGTTTTTAGCCCATTCAATCGCCTTCGCCTACTTTTCGACCAATTTCTCCCTTTTAAACCATTTCCCGATTATCCTATTCCATTCAATTTCATTTTTTTTCCGTCTACTGCTTAAAACAATAAAGACGCTGTTAATCTTCGGGTGCGATCATACCAGCAATAATGCACTGGATCCCATCAGAACTTCGCTGTTAAGCGTGCTTGGGCGAGAGCAGTACTAGGATGGGTGACCCCCTGGGAAGTCCTCGTGTTGCACCCTTTTTGCCCCTTTTTTTTCATTTTTTTTTCACCTTTCCCCGGACAACCTATCTGGTTTTTAGCCCATTCAATCTCCTTCGCCTCCTTTTCGACAAATTTCTCCCTTTTAAACCATTTCCCGATTATCCTATTCCATTTAATTTCATTTTTTTTTCTGTCTACTGCTTAAAACAATAAAGTCGCGGTTAATCTTCGGGTGTGATCATACAAGCACTAATGCGCCGGATCCCATCAGAACTCCGCAGTCAAGCGTGCTTGGGCGAGAGTAGTATTTGGATGGGTGACCCCCTGGGAAGTCCTCGTGTTTCACCCTTTTGCCCCTTTTTTTCCATTTTTTTTTCACCCCCGGACAACCTGTCTAGTTTTTAGCCCATTCAATCACCTTCGCCTTCTTTTCGACAAATCCTCCCTTTTAAACCATTTCCCGATTATCCTATTCCATTTAATTTCATTTTTTTTCTGTCTACTGCTGAAAACAATAAAGTCACGGTTAATCTTCGGGTGCGATCATACTAGCACTAATGCACCGGATCCCATCAGAACTCCGTCTACTGCAAGTTTAATGTTCATTATATTTAGTTTTATTTAATTTTAATTATACATATATGGTCACATACATCCAAACATGAGTACTGAACCTACAGAAGAAGTAACCGCCTCAGTGGCAAATACAGTAGCAAATACAGTAGCCTCTACATTAGAGGCCAAGGAATTCGTTGGTTATCAGTATGTGAAGGAAGCCCTTGATAAGTGGACAATCCCTAAGGTCAAACCAGATACTATCTATAAGATAGGTACATTTGACTTTTCCAGTAAGAAAATAATCAAAACATTTGAGCATGCTATGCCTGTCCAGAATAATGATGAGATAATATATCTCCTTCATTTCCAAGATCTATATCCTTTTATACAGAAATATAAGTATGTCCATATAGGACTTGTCCAGATAGCCTTCAAGCCTTTGACACTTTTAGGTCAAAACACCAGTCTCCAGTGTACACTCAGAGATGGACGATGCACTGATTGGAGGGCATCACTCATGGGAGCTGTAGAAACCAGTCTCTCACATGGTCCAGTATATTTTGATATTTTTCCGAATTTAAGTATAGCACTCTCTGATGCAAACTTATCTAAAGTTTTAGAACTTAGAGTGTTGTCCAATGGATACGATTATCTTCCAGGATCACCACCTTATGTGGTAATTTCCAGAATCTACCTTAAGGTTTTGACAACGTTGAATCCTTATATTAGGAAACATAGTCTGGCAGGACACACAGTCCTAATAGACACAAACCTTTACAGTAGTCAGGTAGCCATACCTAAAATGATACCTTGGGAAGAAATTAAGTTTCCAGAAAGATGGCAGATAAACCAAGCTGTTCCAGCCAGGCCACTTATTCAACAAACCTTAGATGAGGTTATCCAGACACAAGGAGGAAATGTATTTCTTACATTTAGGAGACCACCTAGATCTCTTTCCAGAAGTATGTCTAGTGCCAGTTTTAGAACTGCTCCATCATATAGAGTAGATCTACCTGAATCCTCTAGACAATTTTATTCTGAACCAGCTGAGTTTGTAAGACCACAATCCAGACCTCTTAGTGATACCCAGCTTGAAACAGATCCTATAGTTCAGGGAGTATGATTTTCAGAAAATCAAATACCACATGGTATTTATGGATCCAGAAGGCAAGAAAGGCCTTATAGCCCTACAGCCAGTGACATGAATTTTGAACTTTAATGGATTTACACCAGGTAGTAAAATCAGATTAGCTCTTAATAAGGACTTACAGAAAGAAGAATACAGGACATTTAGGGAATGGTATTTTAAAATCCATACTCCTTTCCAGTTAGAACAATACAAAATTCAGTATTATGAATACTTGGAACAACATCAGATAATCTAGTCTTTTCCTCATTGGTATGTTCAAAACATAACCCCTACAGAATCTCAAATGAATGTAATAGAAAAAATCCAGCAAACTTGGGTTAGTACAGATGGTCAAAACTTTGTGTCTATCCATCTACCTACCCAACCTTTGGAGTTACAACCTGTAAGTAGTGGTACTGGTACAAAACCTTTATCTATTGCTGCTTATATGGAAGTACCTCACAAATCTCAAAATAGGGATCTAGTTCTTGTTCAAGATCTAATTCCTATTTTAAAATAGCATAATTATACAAATCTATTTTGTCAAATAGCAGGTAGACAAATCACCAGGATTGAAGAAACTGTTAATCATATTAAAGACAGTTGTCATTTACAGCCAAAATCCGAGGTAAAAACTGAAACTATTCCAGTAACAATTAAACCTCCTTTAGAAGTAACCAAATTTAAGTTATCTTCTAGAAGGATACAGAATTTATGGATACTCTTGTCGATAAGATAAAGCATCTTAAAATAGGAGAATCATCTTCTATTAATATGTTATCCAGACAAACTATTCCAGAAGAAGAAAAATTAACACTTTCTCAAATTTCAGAAATTGAAAATGTTTTTCAAAATAATCCAATCTCCATAAATAAAGTTCATTATGGAGAATCTTCAAGAAATACTTATAGGACTGTTACTACTCCAACTATACAATTTTATCCTCGTAGCACTCCTATGGATATTCTCTATGAAGAAGATTTTTACAGACACAAAAATCCTATCATGGAAAAACCATTTATGAATGGAATATAGATGGTCTTTCGGAATACCAGATATTTGAATTATTGCATCAAATGATTATGTATTCAACAATTTGCAAACAAAATGAGAATGACGATCATGAGATCGCTTGATTCTTAGTTAATGGATTTACTGGCATCCTTAAAGGATGGTGGGATAACATTATTACTGACATACAACAAACAGAAATTGTTACAGCTTTTAAAAGAATTACAGATCCCCTAACAGGAACTGTGCAATCTGAACAGGATGCTGTTTATACTCTTATCAATACAATTCTACACCATTTTGTAGGAGCCTCTCCTGATGGTTTGGAAGACAGGAGTAGAGAACTTTTACAGAATTTAAGATGTCCATCTTTATCTCATTTCAGATGGTATAAAGATGTGTTCATGATGAGAGTAGTAAGACAATCTGACGCCAATAGTGAACATTGGAAAGCCAAGTTCATTAATGGTCTTCCTACCCTCTTTGCAGAAAGAATCCGAAAGAAATTAAGGGATAAGCATAGATGTCTATTCCTTATTCAGAATACACTTATGGTCAACTCATAAGAATTGTTACAGAAGAAGGTCTTGCTTTATGCAATGATTTAAAATTACAGAATCAAATAAAGAAACAATGTCATAATGAATTAGGTGAATTTTGTAAACAATTTGCCTATGATACTAAAATTCAGTATCCATCCAAACATAAGCATAAAAAACATAAGTATGGAAAATCTTCAAAAGATTATTCCAAAAAATACAGAAAAAAGAAACATTATAAACAATCAATCCAGCAAGCCCAGCCTTCAAAGGCCAAAGGAAAACAAAAGAAAACTTATCCTCAAAAGGATAAAACTACTGTTAAATGTTACAAATGGGGACAAATTGGTCACTATGCTAATCGTTGTAAAACCAAGATACAACAGAAATTAAATGCATTAGCTTTAGATGACGAAATCCAGCAACAAATTCTTCAGATACTTTCTGAAGATTCTGATTCAGATTCCACTTCAGATGATGGTATTGCAGTTATGTACTCATCATCTTCTGATACTGATGCTGAATCCTCTCTAGAAATTTGTGCCTGTCAACCACAAATCAATCAAATTACCTAAGAAGCTAACTATTGGAAAGCAATAGTTGAAATGAATGGACTTGATATTAGTGGTCCTAGTATTAATGTCTTTACAGATGATCAACAGCATATGCTGAATATTACTGAACAAATCATCGATCCAGAAATAAAATTAAAATTTCTTGAATTATGTTATCAACAACATAAAAAAGAAAAAATTTTACCCCCTAAACACTACAGTATGAAAGAAGTTTACAACAGAGTTAAAAATACTTCTGAAGCAAAACCCATAACAATCCAGGATTTGAAAATGGAAGTTAATGCTTTAAAAGTCGAAATTAAGCATCTGCAAACTTCTAATATTGCTATTAATTCTGAGATTAAAAAGATTAATAATACAATCCAGCATAAAGAAAAGGGGATTAGTATTAATGAATCAGACTCTCCGACTAATGCAGAACCTAAAGAGCCTAATTATCTTATGCTCATGAATATTGTTACTTTCCAGAAATGGTATATCAGGATTACCTTTATGATAAAACCCGATTTTATCATAAAAGATGCCATTGCTCTTGTTGATAGTGGTGCTGATATGAATTGTATTTAGGAAGGATTAATTCCTACTAAATACTTTCATAAAAACACCCAGTCACTTACAAGTGCAAGTGGTAATTCTTTATACATCCAGTATAAACTTCCAGAAGTATTAATTTGTAATCAAGGATTATGCCTTCCGACTTCTTTTGTTCTTATTAAGAACATGTCTCAAGCCATAATTCTTGGAACTCCTTTTCTATGTTTACTCATGCCAATATCTAAAATTGATTCAATTGGCATACATACAACCTTGAATAATCAAAAGATTATTTTTGAGTTTATTACAGAACCTTATACAAAAGAGTTAGATCAAATTAAAGATCTAGTTAATTTTAAAGAAAAACAAATTAATTTCTTACAAAAGGAAATTAGTTTTCTTACTACAGAACAAAGACTTCAACAGTCTTCTTTCCAACAAAAAATTAAATCTCTTAAACAAAAATTCAAAGATGAAATTTGCAGTGATATTCCAAATGCTTTTTGGGACAGAAAGAAACACATTGTTTCCTTGCCTTATGAACCAGGATATGATGAGCGAAAAATTCCAACTCGCGCTCGACCAAGCCAAATGAAAAAAGAGTATTTAGAACTTTGTAAGACAGAAATTAATACTCTTTTTCAGAAAAAGCTTATTCGTTCCAATAGATCTCCTTGGAGTTGTATTGCATTTTATGTTAATAAAAATGCAGAAATTGAAAGAGGTGTGCCAAGATTAGTCATAAACTACAAACCTCTTAATGAAGCCTTACAATGGATAAGGTATTCGGTGCCAAATAAAAAAGATCTTTTAGATTGCCTCCAGGATGCAGTCATATTTTCTAAATTTGACATGAAATCAGGATATTGGCAAGTCCAGATCGCTGAACAAGATAGATATAAAACTGTTTTTACAGTACCTTTTGGTCATTTTGACTGGAATGTTATGCCTTTTGGTTTGAAAAATGCACCATCTGAATTTCAGCATATTATGAATGATATTTTTAATCCATATACAGAATTCTCCATCTGCTATATTGATGATGTCTTAATTTTTTCCTCATCAATTGACCAGCATATGAAATGTAGGAACCCACATTTTATGTCCTCATCATGTTCATGAGCATCGGTAGGATTATGACTTGTTTAGTTTGCATGTGCATGTTGTGATTTGTTTCGCTTGAGCTAATGTGATCCATGCCTTGTTTCGAAGCCTTGTGATTTGTCTAAGTGTAGTATGCTTGTCTTGTTCCTTCCTTGATGTGAAACTTAGGTCGCGCCTTGCCTGAGTTGTGCTAGCCGATGTTATTCCAAGCCGAGGTCATCCTTAGTCTAGTAGTAGTATCTTGGAATCCCTTGTTGGCCCCCGTCCTTGCCTTGACCACATTAGCCGAGATGTTACCTTGCACCCAAGTGATCTCGTCCTGGAGTGGTATGACCTAGGCCGAGGTGTGGCGCATCTAGGCCAAGATGTGGCACAGCTTAGTCAAGTGTTGTCCTTCCTAGCCGAGGTCATTGTCACCTTAGTTGCCGAAGTCCTTTGTTAGCCGATGTCATCCCTTGCCGGAGTGCCATTCCGTGTAGCTTGTTAGATACGCCTTGCTGTTAGCCGATGTCATAGCCCGTCAGAGAGCCCATACCGCTTTGCTTGTTGAACACCCTTCCACCATGCTTTGTCTGGCCTGTCAGCCACCTTTTCAGGTAGAACCCAACCAGTCGCCGCCACGTGTCTCAGCAAAGGGTTAACCCCAGAACCGGGTATAGAAAACTATCATTTGGTGTCATAACCTTGTCTTGTAGAGAGAGAAGCTCTAGGAGGCATAAAGAGTTTTAGAGTGAGGAAGTAGATCTTCAAGCTTGATTCCTAGAGATCGAACCGTTAAATCCGTGTTCTAAGGTTAGATTCTTGATCTGCTCATGATGTTCTCTATGTTCATGTTATTGCATTGCATGATCGGATATGATTTGTAAGCCATGCATCGTTTTGAAGTTCAATTTTAGAAAGCGAAAATGACATTCATGTGTTCTTCAAGAAAGTCTTGTTTTGATTCGAAAGCTTGCATAAAGAATCATGTTTTTGTGTTTATTTCCGCAAGAATTCCAAGTACGGGTACCCAGGTCCATGTTTTCAAACTCATAACATGAAAATCCTTGATTTGTGATGTCAGATTATGATTGAGCATTCATATTTTTCATGTTTTCACACTCATGTTCTTCATGTTCATCAGCAGAGGGAAACCCAGAGTTTCCCGACCTCTTTTCCTTGCATGTGGCCCACGGGAACACACCTCGGCGGGAGGTGTGGAACCTCGGCC